CCAGAAAGAGAGAGAGAGAGGGTGTGCTTCTCAATGAGGCATGGTCACACCACAAATCCCCCTCCATCTTTCCATCCTGTTGGGATCTGGGGCACATATGCACACATCCGGTGTGTTTTTCAAACCACCAGGGCTGGAATTTAAACTGTGGTCAGCCATGTGAGATCTGGCTCCTTCAACTATAAGGCTCATACTCTGAAATTCTTAAATAATAAAAACGCTGTTTTTGCCAATAGTCAAAAAATACTTTATTCATTTGTTTGCTTTCCTTAAACCTCTAATCCCATTCCATTCAGTTCTCCATTTTCCTTTTACCTACTTAGGGTAGCTTAAAACCAGAGAATCAGTGAATTGCAAGAAACAGAGGTTATTTAATTCAGCCTCCTATAATCCTCTCATGGCTCTCCTAATGAGGGGAACACACAACATCTGTTGCACTTCTTCCAACGATAAACGACATTTTATCATCTCGGCTAGCAGAGCACTGTCTGGTTCTGTTTTAAGAAAGCACTGACTTTTCAAGCTAGAACACAGGTTTTGACTTTTGAATCCTGCATCTGCTCCTTTACCTGCCATGTGACTTTGGGTAAGACACTTAAACTCTTAAAATTTGAAAAACAGAATCACAATACCTCACTGAGTGGTATTGAGAATACCATGGCATGTGTGAAAGTGCCTTGTGGGGAGTAGCTTCTCATTCCGTATTATGCCTTTCTTGGAAGTTCCCTCTTACACGGAGATGAGGTTTACAGTGTGTTCGCCCTATGGTGCGAGTGATGTGGACCACTGAAATCTTACGCTGCAACCCGACACCTGAAGCTGCAGTGTTGGGAGGTGGGGCTTCCTGGGAAGGGCGTGGAGCACTGGGTGGATCCCTCAGGAACAGTCAGGGCCAAGCAGTTCTCCCTAATTAGTTCCAGTGAGAGCAGGCTGTTATAAAAACAAGTCGGCCACAGCATGTCCCACTGATGCACCTGCTTTCCTCTGCTTCTCCCGGGCACATGGCAATGCCGTACCAGACACCAGAACCCATGCTTATTTCTAGCCACCAGAACGGTCAGCGAAATGTGCCTCTTTTTTTCATGAATAATTCCGTTTCACGTATTTCTGCTGCTATTCTGCCTTAGAAAACCCACGGACGGAGAGGGTTACTCTGTGTGTGTAGGAGCTATGGAGAATCAGTCTGATGCCTGTGTAGGCTATGATATCCTCTGAATACTAGAAGTCAACAATAACTTGGGGAAATACCAACCATCATATTTCTTCACAGAAGATGATTTTGATAGTGACGTGAAGGAAATCAATTGTAACCTTTATCGGGAAAACTTATCAAGCACCTGGGAAGGGCTGTTCAGTCCAGTAATGTCTACTTATAATGCGTCAGAAACTGTGCTAGTAGCTAGAGAGTAAACTGATTTAGATATTAAGAGACTGTGTTACTCCTTAAAAGTGAATGATCTCAAGAACAGACACACGTGAACTAACAATTATACTATAAAGCAGTGTGTGAATAGTTATGCTATATATCCACAGCTATGTGAATAAAATGAAAACCACACAGGCGGCATCTTTGCTAGACTCTCTACAGGGGACAACTTTTTAAAATTCAGTCTTGAGACCATTCATTCATCATTTAACAAGTATCTACTATGTGCCTGACATGATGTAAGTTGCTAAGAACATAAAGGTGAATTTGGGGGAGGGTCCCAAGTTTAATTTATAATTATTCCATTTCAACAGAATAACTGTTTTACTATGTTTTTAAGAAAACCCACTGGAACTTTCCCACTTGATACATGAATGGATAACTGTTTCTTTTTGTCATAGACTCCTTGGCTTCCCAAAATGGATCTCTTATAGTGTACTCATCATATCTAAAATCCTAGAAACAAAGAATAAAATAATTTAAAGAAAATCCCCCCATACTCTGCAAAGCTCATATGTTTTGTGATTAATCTTTAGAGTTCACACAGTGACGTTCCATGGCCAACGTCTGGGGATAAGGCAGAGACCGTGAAGCCACACTGAAGGGGCTGAGAGCAGGAAATTCAAGTTGGGTTAGGGGAAGAACCTGAGGTCAGAGGGTACACGGGAGAGGCAGTGCCACAAACAGCAACCTACTGCCAGTGAGGAGTGCTTCATCTCCTCCTATACCGCCGCCCAACTGCGTTTGTTATGTGGTAAGTTCAGCTACTGAGGCGTTAACACAACTGTGTCTGGAGGGCTTACAAGAGGCAAGGCTATATGGGAGAATTTCTCTTATCAATTTTAAAAAGCATTCCCAAGAATAGTAGATACATTAAGTGTGAAAGTAACCACATTTATAATTTGCGCCCTCCAAGACAGTAATTCAACTTACCGAAGAGGGTGTCCCACTGTTACAGCAGAAGCACACCCAGAAGGTGCACAACCATTTCACATGTGCAAGAGTTATCATCATCTGAAGCTGGTGACACTGCTAAGGCTGCATTCCAGCCAAATTAAAAGGAGGGCAGATGTGCAGTCAGTTTCTGAAGGCAACACTGTGGTGTGGCCGACAGCACTGGCCTGGGTTGAAATCGCAGCTGCAGCCACAACGGCGCCTGGAAGAGCACCGGCCCAGAGTGATTATGTGCGCTGCCTTCTTCAGAGCCTCAAATCTTTGTTCCTCAAAGGGTACAAATACTCTTTTTGAAAGATTTGCTGGAGGATGTATGGACTTGCCAGAGAGGGGAAGAGTGAGAAAGCACCCCTCAGGAAGGTGTGGTCACACTGCAATCTCTTCTCCTTCGTTTCCCCTTTTGGGATTTTGGGCATGTGCACACACGTGTCCAGCATGTTCTAGCTGCTGGGTCTGAGGCTCAAACTGCACAGGCAGCCACGTGGATTGTAGCCACCTTAACCACAGTGTCACCAGCTTGCCTCTACAGGACTTCTGCAGGGCCATAACCTCATTTGTGGCAGTGGATGAAGAGAGGAATGAATGAGCTGTACAGAATACTTATCAATTCAACTGTTTTAATGCCTTTCCATCATCTACCCATAAAAATCACAACTATAAGTAACAAAACCAAGTGACCTGAATTTCTCTTGCTTGTGCTTTTTCTCCCCTGGACTTCAGCTTTTCAAGAATCTTTCATTTTGTTCACCTAACTACTTTCTTTACATTTTTTAAAAAGAATTATTTTAAATTTTTATTTATTCATTCATTTATTTTAATTTGACTAGAGTGAAATAGAGAGAGAGAGAGACAGAAGGAAAGTAAGAAAGCAAGCCATCAGGTTCGGGACTTGAACCGTGGCCAGCCATGTGGGAGTGTCCAGTGCCTTAACCACCATGCTACCCACTGGTCCCCCACCTAACTACTTTATAAACTCACCAGAATACAAACACTTAAAAAGAGAACATGTGTGTCTAGTTCTCATACAGATAAATTCAATCTTTACCAAGTAGAAAGATAAATAAACACATGGAAAGAAGGCAATAGCTCTTTTTGAAATACCTGGATTGTGAAATCCAAAAAGCAAAATGCCTGGCTGACTCATACCAAATTTATGGTAAAATGAGACCTAGGATTCAGGTTTCCTACTCTCCCTGTCTGTCAATGCCCACTAGACCAACCAGCCACATCTACATTAAGCCCAAACATGCGAGACGGACGTCCACATCCATGAGGCCTAAGGGACAGTAGTCCCCCCTATTTCCAGGAGACCTAGCACGTGTGAAAGAGTTGAGGGATGAGAGTCATCGGTTAGATAAGAGTAATAGGAAATAGAAACAGGTCCAACTGCAAGAAATAGAAAGAGAGAAGCTAGGGGTCACACCTTTCCCCAGTGGAACAACAAAGTGATGGAACTGCTTATTTCAGGATTATCTGTTCAACACAATTCACTGAGCTCCCAGTATGCACTCTCGGTCAAAAACAGAGATAAAAGTTTTCCATCCATCCTTGCTCTTCCAGACCTTCAGTCTAGGTGAGAGAGAGACATGTAATAAATAACTGCAGAAATGCTCAACAGGTCAATTATTACCACCTCTGAATTTCCCTAGCAACAGCTGACCTCAGTCTAGAAAGACAAAGAGGAGTCAGATGAAATGTAAGATCACGCTAGGCCAAGCAGGCAGCATGAGCAAAAGTCCGAGGCCTGTTCAGAGAATTAAATAATGTTCATGTGTCTAAGACAAAGATTCTGATCTTTCCAGTGGATGCAGATAAAGCTAAGGAGATCTGTCAGTACCCCAGGGAATTAAGGCAACCTTCTGGAAATTGTGCAAAGGGCTGCCAGACACCTAGCAAGAGATCTCAATTAAAGTAAGACATGAAAACCTACTGCTCATATGGCTACCCGACATCACTTCCCTGTCACTCACAACAGTCCGTGTACTCACACTGCCATACTTTCCGTCACTAACACGAATCACCTGTCAGCTGCTGCTTCATTTATGGCAAACTAGGGAGTTAGAGCAAAAATCCAAAATGTTTATATTCTTTCTTCTACCCAAACCCAATTTTTTTTTCTTTGTCTTATGTTAAGTAAGTCTATGAATCATTGTCAAAAGAATTACTAACTGGTAAATGAAAAACTATCTCATTTGCATAAGATGAAAAATATGGAGCCTTTGTTTTCTTCATTGAAAAGAATTTCCACTAAGAATCAACAGCAAAGCCTAAAGGGAAATACTTAAGGGCAAACCCATCATGATCTGCATAGTCAATTATTTTTCAGATGATTTACTTAGAGGTGGCCTGGAATGAAAAATGAAAGAAAGTCACACTAAACTCTAGAAAGAGCTTGATAACATGTCTCCTTGATCCTAGTCTTGTACTAAATTCTTCTTTCATAGCTTAGATTTCAACTATTTAATGAAAAATGGCATGTCGTATCTGTACTAGTACAGGAACTTAGGGGTTCGTTGAGCTAAGGCAGAAGACTAAATAACTAAAAAGGAGAGGTGAGCTCCTGGTTACAACACCCGGGCCACGTATGGGTTGGGTCAATCACATCAACACCATCACTTACATATTCTCCGTAGGTCTCTTGTGTTGGGGGTGGCGGTGGAGGTCTGTACCCAGTTGGGGGAGCTCCTCTTGCTCTGGGAGTGAGAAGTCCTCTCCCCCGACTCACTGGCCCTCGGGTTGAAAGGACGCCCCTGGGCGCTGGCGTCCCTCGTGGTACACCAACTGCAACTGGCCGTGCTGTGACTCCTCCCCTTCCCCTGGAAACAAGAGGATCAAATTAGCAATAGTCATCATATTCTCTAATACTCCCTTATCCACACACATTTATACTACAGAAAAATCAATGTTCTGTACTACTGAAAAGCAGGAAAAGGAAACCATATGCAAAGTTAGAACTAAAGCAAACCAGAAACAGGTGTCTACCAAAGAATCTTACGTAACTTGGGCAGTTAATCTAGCAAAAATAAATACGGGAGTACCGACGAACTCCATTCATTTCTGGCTAGTATACAGAGCAGGAAGTTACAACTCTGGGGAGGCTAAATACACCGAAGGGTTTTGCATGATGCCATGCCAAGATCACACCCAAACTTCATGCTGCACTACCCGGGAGCACCCATCTTGCACATCTATGGACAAGGAAACTAAGGCTTGGGAGATTTAAAAATGATCGGAAAGACAGCTAGTCCAGGCACTAAATCTATGCCACAAGTCCACGAGAGAGAATAAAATGTACCTAAGTAAATAATGTACTAACTGCAACGTAACAGACAATGTCACTCTCTTGTATTGCCAAAGGGTACATGAGAGAGAGAGAGAAAGAGATAATACCCCCTCTGCAATGGGGAGTGGTCATGCTACAATCTTTCTTCCTCCATTTTTCTACCCCATCAGGATTTGAGGCACGCATGCACATGTGCCCAGCATGTTCTTCAAATGGTTGGAACTGGGATTCAAACCACAATTGTCTATGTGGGATCTAGTTCCCTATATACTGAGCTTAACAACTTCATTATAGGGCTGGTCATAAAACATCCTTCCTAGGTTAAATAAACACAGTCATTTTCTGAAGTAAATTGAACATATCCACTGCAGTCATGTGTCAATCAGTGGTGAAGACACATCCTGAGAAATGACTCGTTAATTTTGTCCACGTGGATATCAGAGAGGTTGTACACAAATCTAGATGGAACAGCCTATGATAACCTTACCGAATCACCATCATAAGTGTGTCCGATCACTAACCAGAATAGTGAGCAGCATATGATTGTATACCTTTATTTTTTCTTTTTTAAGTTTGCTATAGGGAATGTTGTGCTCACTAAAGTGAGGCAGAGAGAGAAGGAGGCAGAGAGGGAGGAGAAAAATTAAGAAAGCACCTCCCCAGGGAGTTGGCCACATTGCAATACCTTCTTCACCATTCTCTTGGGAATTTGGGGATCCACGTGCCTAGTGCTTTTTTCAAGGCACAGAGTCTGTAACTCGAATCATGTAGCTGGCCATGTGGGATCCAGCTGCCTTAACCATCACACCACTGACCTGACCGGCCCCAATCCATGACTGTATTGTAATGTAAAATACGAGACTTTAAGTCAGAGAGGAAGAAGGAAGTAGCTATACTGAGAATGGTCCAACACAAGTAAAGATCTAGGCAAACATGCAACTCTTACTTGAACTGAATAAAGATAAAAGTGTGGCTGAGAATAAAGACCAACCCAATCTAGCTCAGCCGCACAGGGCCTGCCAAATCAGCCGCAGCTGAGAATGCCGGCTGCCAACACATCCGTTTTCTCCCCGTTTAGTGTTTACAAAAGCAAATAGCTAAAAACTCACTTTTAAAAAAAATTAAAAAACAGAGAAAATTAATAGAACTGAAAGCTGGTTCTTGAAAAGATTAAAACCTCTAGAGCAGATAAACAAACAAATGAAAAAAAAAAAAACAAAAAACAAAACCCAAAGGATATCAGGAATGAAAAGGCATCACCACTACTGATCTCAAGGACAGTAAGGATTACTAAAAGAATACTATGAACAAGTTAAGGCCTATAAATTATTTAACTTGGATGAAGTGGACTGACTGACTAAAATACACAACCAACCAAAACTCACACAAGGAGAATTAAATAACCTGAAGGTTATTTAGGTTTATGTCCATTAAAAAAATTCGCAAATAATAACCTTCCCCCCAAAGGAAATTCTATAAACTATGAAAAGAAGAAATGGTATCAGTTATCCTATAATCTCTACAGAAAATCAGAAGGAACACTCATAAACTCAGCCTAGGAGTTCAGTCTTTGGACGCAACTCTTCAACATGGTTTCTACTTTATGAGTTAGGAGATGGGACCAGCCCGGGCCAGCCAGGGAGGTCTGCGGCCTGGCCTTGAGCCATGGTAGAGTTTAGTCATAGGAAACACTTCCCAAAATTCTGTCCGAAATTCTTGTCTGGGGCTATGCTTGGTCAGGGTGGGGATGGGGAAAGAAAGAAAAATGCTGCTCGAGGGCTAGCCCAGCTGCTCTCTTACCTCCCCAGGATGAGACACGGGGAAAAGGAAGAAGGCTCTTAAGGGTGATTGGCTTACTTTCCCAAATAGTAAAACTTTTCTGCTTCATAAAATTTAGAAGATACAACTATTTAAACAAATATAAATACAAAAAGTAAATAGGAAGTTTAAAAATATATTTCAAAACCTGCCTAGATTTTACTATGACACAATGAGAGACAGCTTGGTGTAAAGGCAGAGCATGCTGTAGAACTCAGGCGGCGGCTTGGGGAAGCAGGAGCAGAGCACAAGGGCCTACCGACATCCTATGAGTGAGGAAAGCACTGGGAAGAGACTTTATACGCATTCACATTACTGCCCTTCTTGTCCTTTCCAACCTCCTGAGCTATTTCCACTAGCAGAGTTTCCACGGACTGTTTAGAGAGCAGGCATATTGCTTCCATTAATTCTTTAGCACCTTCCTATCAGGACCAAGGCATCCATGTATGTTTGTTTTCTTGCCATTTTCAATTTTTTCATATGCTTATTTTGTTAGCTCAGTTTCTTTGGGGCTCTTTAAAAAGGCTCTTAGCTCCCTGGCTGCCTTTTATAGCACACTTTGCTCTTATGTGTCCATTACTGTCCCATCACTTTTTATCTTAAAATTCCTAATTTCATAATTTTCTGCACTTTCACAGATTTTTAAAACTTTTTCTTCCCTTTTTAGTCATTTAGTAGAAGTTCAGGGAGAAGAAGATAAGTGAGGGTCTTTTCTTTTTTCTTTTTCTGGAGAAGATTTTGCTATAGGGTGTATGCGCTCGCCAGAAAGAGACAGAAAGACAGAAAGCGAGAAATCACCCCCCGGGGGGATGGCCACACCACAATCCTTTCTCCTATCAGGATCTTGGGCGCACACGTGCCCAGCGTGAGTTTAAGCCACTGGGTCCAGGACTCGAACCGCGGTCGACAACATGGGAGTCCAATGACATAGCCATTGTGAGGAAAGCACTGGGAAGAGACTTTATACGCATTCACATTACTGCCCTTCTTGTCCTTTCCAACCTCCTGAGCTATTTCCACTAGCAGAGTTTCCACGGACTGTTTAGAGAGCAGGCATATTGCTTCCATTAATTCTTTAGCACCTTCCTATCAGGACCAAGGCATCCATGTATGTTTGTTTTCTTGCCATTTTCAATTTTTTCATATGCTTATTTTGTTAGCTCAGTTTCTTTGGGGCTCTTTAAAAAGGCTCTTAGCTCCCTGGCTGCCTTTTATAGCACACTTTGCTCTTATGTGTCCATTACTGTCCCATCACTTTTTATCTTAAAATTCCTAATTTCATAATTTTCTGCACTTTCACAGATTTTTAAAACTTTTTCTTCCCTTTTTAGTCATTTAGTAGAAGTTCAGGGAGAAGAAGATAAGTGAGGGTCTTTTCTTTTTTCTTTTTCTGGAGAAGATTTTGCTATAGGGTGTATGCGCTCGCCAGAAAGAGACAGAAAGACAGAAAGCGAGAAATCACCCCCCGGGGGGATGGCCACACCACAATCCTTTCTCCTATCAGGATCTTGGGCGCACACGTGCCCAGCGTGAGTTTAAGCCACTGGGTCCAGGACTCGAACCGCGGTCGACAACATGGGAGTCCAATGACATAGCCATTACGCTAACTGCTGGTCCCAGGAAATGAGGGTCTTGATAGTTATCTCTTTGAAAAAGTTCCATGGTTTCACCAGAAGCTGAGCATCAGCAAGTTCAGGTGTGAGAGGACCTGAGGACGCCGAGTCAGAGCCTCCCCATGCAGCCTCGGTGCATGGGGTGTTGTTATGCTGCAGCACCATGGCTGACCTTCAGTGTTCAGTGAGAGAACAGAAAAGGCAGGGAGAAGCTGTTGTTTTGGGCTGTGTGTGTGCCAAGTATGACAACGATCCTATTATGTGTGGTACGGTGTTTACTCCTGAGGGGACGCTTGTAAGACTGGCAGCTCTGTCGCCACTTCACCTAAGAGTGTGGAGGGGAAGTAAGTTTCTTGTGCTACTCAAACAGCCAGCACTGGCAATGACGTCTGATTCTAGATCTATCGAATTCTACAGTTATCTTTTTCAAGTGTTACCCTGGAGGGGTAAAAACTGACAGAAATGTTCAATCCCAGCAGCCAGTGGGCAAACATTACTCAGGCCGAGACTAAATTCACAGTATTTGCTCTTAGGTGTTAGGGGCGATAGGTCATATGGGTGTGTAAGTTGTGCTGGGGTGGCAGTAAATGTATTCCACAAGAGAAATGAGGAATTTTTTAGATTTTTCAAAACCTGGTCTCGTTCATTTATTATTTTTGTGAATATTTACTGAGCACACACTGAGAGCTATCTCTACGCTCAGAACCAGAAAAGGCAGAAGACACATTCCCTCCGGACTGCTAGATCAGGAGACCATGTTCTGGACTGAGTTCATGTTCTAGGCCCCAACAGACCAGAATAAAAATACGTTTCTCATGCTAAAATGCAGCATCATCACCTGAAACTAGAGGAGCTGGTAGATTCCAAAACAGACCAGATTTTCCTGAAAACAGGAGAGTCCAGTCTACCTGAGCGAGACCTATAGGGAAACAAAAGCTCATGCACATCTTCTGGCTGAGGTACCTGCACCTGAAATTGCAGCTCTCCTGCCTAGACTTACTGGCCTCTGTTTTTATGAAGATCCTTGCTCCCCAAGTACATTCCTCCTTTACCTTCCATCAGTCATAACTATTAGTTAGAACTTTCAAAATGTTTCAGGTAC